CTTGGACCCTTTGCTGAAGGGCTTGTTTGCTCATTGAGTGCAAATACTATTATTAATCTTTTATTATATAAAGCTTGTATTAGTTCCATACTGGTGTGCTTGTACAGTTGTGTTCAAAATAATAGCAGTCAGACATCATTAACCTGATCAATCACTGTTTTTGGTAGAAATGATATTTCTACATGGCAAATAATTTACTAGCAGGTGTAGTAGAGTAATAGAAATCCAACAGACACAACAGTCATGACATGCATGCTGCTGATTCTGTGTAATTGAATCACTAATTGAAAGGGGCATGTTCAAAATAATAGCAGTGTGGAGTTCTATAAGTGAGGTCATTCATTCTTTGAAATACAGGTGGCAATTATTGCCCTTATTTAAGGAAGGAAGGCAGCAAATGTTGTACATGCTGGTTACAGTGCATTTCTCTCTGAAATTCTGAGGAAAATGGGTCGTTCCAGACATTGTTCAGAAGAACAGTGTACCTTGATTAAAAGTTGATTGGAGAGGGGAAAACATATAAAGAAGTGCAGAAAATGATAGGCTGTTCAGCTAAAATGATCGCAAATGCTTTAAAATGGCAACCAAAACCTGAAAGACGTGGAAGAAAGCGAAAAAAACTACCATTTGAATGGATAGAAGAATAGCCAAAATGGCAAGAACTCAGCCAACAATCAGCTCCAGGAAGATCAAAGAAGGTCTAAAGTTACCTGTGAGTACTGTTACAATTAGAAGACGCCTATGTGAAGCCAAGTTATCTGCAAGAAGCCCCCGCAAAGTCCCACTGTTGAAAAAAAGACGTGCTGAAGAGGTTACAATTTGCCAAAGAGCACATTGACTGGCCTAAAGAGAAATGGTGCAACATTTTGTGGACTGATGAAAGTAAGATTGTTCTTTTTTTTGGGTCTATTGGTTGTAGACAGTTTGTCAGACGACCCCCAAACACTGAATTCAAGCCACAGTACACTGTGAAGACAGTGAAGCATGGTTGCACAAGCATCATGATATGGGGATGTTGCTCATACTACGGTGTTGGGCCTATTTATCGCATACCAGGGATCATGGATCAGTTTGAATACATCAGAATACTTGAAGAGGTCATGCTGCCTTATGCTGAAGAGGAAATGCCCTTGAAATGGGTGTTCCAACAAGGCAACGACCCCAAACACACCAGTAAACATGCAACATCTTGGTTCCAGACCAACAAGATTGACAATATGGAGTGGCCAGCCCAATCCCCGGATCTTAATCCAATAGAAAACTTGTGGGGTGACATTAAAAATGCAGTTTCTGAGGCAAAACCAAGAAATAGAGAAGAACTGTGGGATGTAGTCCAATCATCCTGGGCTGGAATACCTGTTCACAGGTGCCAGAAGTTGGTTGACTCCATGCAACACAGATGTACAGCAGTTCTCAGAAACAGTGCTTATACAACTAAATATTCATTAAGTGATTCAAAGGAAAGCAAAATCTTCAAACATTATTCAGTTTATATAGTGAATGTTTGAGTTTGTAAAGAAGAATACAAACACTGCTATTTTTTTGAACAGTCTAATATTCACTTTTCTTCAATTTTTTTTAGAGGAACAACACAAATTTGATATATTTTTCTTCATGTTTTGATTTGGAATAGAATGTGTAGTGTTCCCAATGCATTTGTGTGTATGGAAATAAAAGCTATTAGAAGGATTTTGAGCTTTATTCACTTTTTTCAACACACTGCTATTATTTTGAACACAACTGTATATATTTGTGGTTAATGTTATATGCTGGCTGTAGTAGTTCTTCTGCTCCCAATAACTTTGATTAGATTACTGAATAATTTCCCAGGAAGGGAATTCCCTCTGCTCACATGCTTTATTTGAAAAGGCAAAGATGTAAGTTCAAAGGTCAGAAATTTTAATAACCTATCAGAACTCATCGTTCAAAGTCCATTGTTTGAAACAAAAACACCAGTTATTAGCAATATACAACAAAATGTGATTCTTCACAGCTCTTTACTGGAGCCAACAGTAGTAATCTTGCTTGCTTAGCAGAAAAATATCATGGGTTTCAGTTGGTTTTATTTTAATTATTCTCCTTAAAAGCTTTTACCTGATGACTGATATCCATATTTATTTACCTGACTAACAAAATATATATAGAAAAATACAAGGGGGTTACAGCACAGGTTGCAACACGGAGATCATATTTTATTGATCCATTAAAACATAATCCAGCAACTTCAGGCATCCTTGCCCATTTAATTACTGACCTGCACTACAGTATGTAGTAGTAATGAAAATTTGTCTGTGTTCTGGTCCTAACTGGCTTCCCTATATTCCACACATAGTAAAGAAGTGTAACCATGTGTGAAGCCTTATTTATTTGTAGCACCCTCCTAGGTCGCTAGGGGGATCTAGATGATCATTTTTTAGTAGAGGCTGAGTAACAGCCTGCTGGAATAGTCAGAGGGGGTCACATTTCAGTCAGGGTGGAGAGTCTCTGCAGATTAGCTCTCTGGAACTTCCCCCTGATCTAGAGACTTGGAGAAGTCTCTAAAATTCAGTGGGCGGGGGTGAGGAGTGACTGGTCTGCACTCTCAAGGGATCCCGACCAATCCCCAAGCAGGAGGCTTAGCAAGGGATCAAGACAGCCCTTAAGAGTGGCTCATCCTGCTCAATAGCAGGACAGTCCGGGTGGAAAATGGACTGAGCAGGATGGTGTGTGGAGCCTGGGAGGGGGTCCAGGAGAGCGGTCTACCTACAGGCAGAGGAGCTGGAAGGCAGGATCCCTCACCCTCACCACACTCACCATCCCCTGAGAGAGAGGACAGCCTGGGAAGCAGGGTAGGAGCCAGCCCAGCATAAGGCCTGAAGGCAGCCCCCAACCCACAAGCTTGCTCACTCAGGAGAGACTGAGTGAGTAACCCCACACCCCTGGGCTGGAAAATGGGAAAAGGCATTTGGGTAGAAAACCTGACTAACGCCCATCTGGGACTGCTTTCATTTAAGGTGGCAGCTTCTGGGACCTCTTGGCCAGGGATTCCCGCAGGCAGCTGGGTAAAGAAGAGATTTGATCTGGGGTCTGAAGATGTACACAATGAGAGGCTGGCTAGCTATCCAAGAAGAGAAGAGAAAACTCTTTCTGACTACTTGTACATAGTTGCAGGAAGTTGTCTTCAGTTTTACAGTTCCTTGGGCAACCCATGTACCCTTCAACCCCATCCAAGTTATCATTCCCTAGTAAACTCCAAAAAACAAGTTCAAGGACTGTTTACTGTCTCTGGAGTGCAAATATAAAAGGAAATGCATGTTGCCTGGCTGTGCAGGACTACAGGGGGACCCAAAACTCTAGCAACTCCTAAAGGGGTAGGGCTACATATTCAAAGCAAACTCTTGCTTAAAAAACAGGGATTTTTAGTTCACATATGTCGCAATAGATATTCTAACTGGTTAACTGCATTAAACTGATTCCTCTCTTGCCAACCCTTATATATTTTTTTCAATAATACTTTTTAGTCTTTACCTTAATAGAGAGAGAAAATATGAACCTCTAAAATCACTATATATTTATTTTATTACTATTCCTCCTTATAATTTGCTTACTTGCTGGTGGTCATGGTAGATGTACTGGGGACAATTTGACTGAACTGTTATGTAGTAAAGTATCTACCAAATTCATTGTTATTCCATTAATAAAAATCTTTACTGCTGTAATCAACATATTGATGTAATGGAAGAATAAAGAACTGATGCATGCTGTAGCTAATTTTTCCAATAATGAAAAATAACTGCATTTTGGAAGTGTTATGTTGAAAGTTGACCCATCAGCCTGTTTTAAAACAGGTTCTGCCTAAGAACAGACTTCACAATGTCTCTGGCATTACATTTATTAACCTACAAAGTCTCTTCTGTGCTCTTGTCTGCTTTTTTTTTCTTTAATACTAAGGCCTGTCCTGACCATCAAAGCCTGATTGGCCTTCAGTGGCATAGCAGGTAGGTGCTTTTAACTAAAATGGGTAGGCATAGTTTTGGCCTGAAATCAAGAAAATCAAGGCCTTAGTAACAAAAACCAAAATTACCTTTGCAAAGTGATTTCACATATATCAAAACTATCTACTAATTTGTGTAACTAAACTGTGTTTGTGCACATGGTTGTACATGTAGGATGAAATTAATATATTTGCTCAACTTGGATGCCATGCGGTCAAGTAGATGGTAAAGGACTGCTCCTGCAGTTGTCCATGACTTCGTAGTAAAATATTGACTTACACTATACAATAGACCTCTGCTTAATGAAGTCATTAGTGGTTCAGTATTCACAAAGCAAATTCAATATACCTAGCAGAAGTGGTGCAACTGCCAGGATAGGCACACTTTCAAAATGGAATAAGCATAACTATACTGACTTTCTTTAGGATAAAATTACTGTAGGGAAATTCATCTAAAATATGCTTTTATTTAAGTATACAAACTCCAATAAATTAGCCTCCTGGTTTCATTCTTTCTGACCTCCTGGGCTAAATCTGTCATTAGGTCAGTAGGTGTTAGAAAACAGGGGTCCTGGAGTTAAACAAACGGAGTACCTGTACACCAAGGCTAGAATTATTTCCGCATGTACAAATTCCAAATGTTTTTGAAAAGGAAAGTTCAGTAATAAAAATTCCATCCTTTCACAGGAAATATACTCCTCATATGAATATGTACTGTAATTCCATAAAGTCATGAGATGCCACATTGTCCCATCCAAGGGTTATAATCCTTTTTCTTCAGCCATGATATAAATAACCAGGGATATGTGTTCTTTGTTTAACAGAGTCCAGTAATGTTGGTAACATAAAATTTGATATAGGCATTGTTTTGGTGGTCTTCTTGTTTCAGGAATAAGTATGAGTCATATAGCAAGTTCTTTGCCACTTTAGGACAGGTGTAGATCCTACCCAGTAATACATATAATTTCAGTGCTAAGAAAGAATAAATTAATTGCTATCAAACAAAATTAGATATTTTTAAGTTTCTTCACTTACACACATTAACCCACTGTGTGATGCGGCACTCCTCACACATAACATAGCAGCACCAGTGAAACCGGCAGTTGCAACGTTCCCGGCGGGTCTGCATGAGGATATTATGGCCTCTCCCACAGCAAAGGCTGGCGCAGCTGTCCATCTGGTGGCTTGTCTTGTTGCATACCCGTCCTTGAGTGCCTGGGGAGTCTACTAGTGTATCCCTCTCACAAAAGTCAGGAGATTTCTCAAAGTAGACAAGCTCACGGGCCAGTCTCTTCTTGTTGAGACGTGGATGGAAAGCTCCACTGTTCTTATTACGGGAGTTCACGAAGACAGCACGCTGTAGCTTTTCCCGTAGAAGTGTGCTAACTGCCCGGAAATCAGGAGTCACATGCCAACAAGTCTTGAACTGGCAGCTTCCAGATGTTCCATGGCATTTGCATCTGCGCTTCATGTTTTCAGTCACCGCCTGGACAGATAGCAAAACAGTCAATATTGTGAAAGAGCTCTAAAACATATCATTAAAACAGCCTGTTTTAGAACACATGGAAGTTTCGATAAGAATGATAAACATTTTGGCATTCTTCATAATTTATATCTGAGAATATTGAAAACTGAATACAACATTACTACATGCAACTATTACGACACATGATTCCATATATATTTAATAAACATTACACTCAGAAGAAGGGCTGAGTTTACAGTACTGGTCTTGAAGTAGACTCGTGCTTAAAAGTATAAACTTGCTATCATATAGGAAATACACTATATTGCTAAAAGTATTGGGCCAGCCCTCCAAATCATTGGATTCAGGTGTTCCAATCACCTCCATGGCCACAGGTGTATAAAATCAAGCACCTAGGCATGCAGACTGCTTCTACAAACATTTGTGAAAGAATGGGTCGCTCTCAGGAGCTCAGTGAATTCAAGCTTGGTACTGTGATAGGTGGCCACCTGTGCAATAAGTCTATCCGTGAAATTTCCTTGCTACTAAATATTCCACAGTCAACTGTTAGTGGTATTATAACAAAGTGGTAGCAACTGGGAACAACAGCAACTCAGCCACGAAGCGGTAGGCCACATAAAATGACAGAGCGGGGTTAGCGCATGCTGAAGCGCACAGTGCACAGACATTGCCAACTGTCTGCAGAGTCAATAGCTAAAGACCTCCAAACTTTGTGTGGCCTTCAGATTAGCACAACAGCAGTGCGTAGAGAGCTTCATGGAATGAGTTTCCATGGATGAGCAGCTGCATCCAAGCCTTATATCACCAAGTGCAATGCAAAGCATCGGATGCAGTGGTGTAAAGCCTGCCACAACTGGACTCTAGAGCAGTGGAGACATGTTCACGTGAACACCTTTGGGATGAATTAGAGCACAGACTGTGAGCCAGGCCTTCTCGTCCGACTGCAGTGCCTAACCTCACAAATGTGCTTCTAGAAGAATGGTCAAACATTCCCATAGACACACTCCTAAACCTTGTGGACAGCATTCCCAGAAGAGTTTAAGCTGTTATAGCTGCAAAGGGCGGGCCAACTCAATATTGAACCCTATTCCATTAAGGTTCATATGCATGTAAAGGCAGGCGTCCCAATACTTTTGGCAATATAGTGTATATATAAAAATATTCATGTAACCTGAGAGATCTATACATTTCTCCTAGAAAATAGCAGCACAAATCCTAACATGTGACTGTACCTACGCACTTCTGTTGACTAGATTACGGTGGTCTATTTGTTTGCAATCAGGGATCACATCCTTCTGTGACTCTGAGAACCACTAGTCTCTTGAAATTTGGAGTGAAAATTAGTGGTGTCACTACTGTATCTGCTCACTTTTCTCCCAAGGGCTTCCTGGAATATAATTTGTATCTGGTCACATGCAGTGCAAGCATCCTTCTATTTCTGTTTTCACATATTCTGTTTTCACATATTCACCTCTCTAGCTGCTTTTCAGAGTTTAGATATGATGGTGGATCACCACCATATTTGAGCTCTGAGTCAGAAAGGGAGGTGGGAAATTGTGCTGGGAGCTATTTTGATTTGGGAGACATTTGAACTGGGCCAGAATGCAAATTTTGTACCAAAAGGGGTAATTTTGTGCTTGTAAAGGATTTAGTCCTGAACATTGACTTTGTGCTGCGGTAGGGGGTTCTGGGTGAGATTGTTGCTTGTGCTCTGTGTGTTACATTCTTTTGACCCATGATCTATGTGTGTTATACTCCCCCATGACCCCAACACTCCGTGTATTACACAAGCCCCTAAAACCTGCACTTTATGCATTACACACACCCCTGACCCTTAAACACGCTCTGTGCATTATATTCACCTGAAACCTGCCCTTTTTGTGTTACATTCTCCTTACCCCTACACTCTGTGCAATAAATTCTCCTGACTCTAACACTTTGTGCATTACACAACCCCCTGCACTCTGTGCATTACGTTCTTCTGGTTCCTGCGCTCTGGCACAGAATAGCTCACAGAATGACTGGCATTCTGTGCATTACACACAACCCAGACTCCTGCACTCTGTGCGTTACACACCCTTGATGCCTGCACTCTATGCATTGCACATAGAGCTGAACCCTGCAACCTGTGTTTTTACACACACCCCTGACCTTTGCACCCTTTGCATTACACACACCCTTGACCTATGCACCTTTAATGTTACATTCATCTGACTCTTGCACTCTGTGCATTACATTATGCTGACCCCTGCACTCTGTGTGCTACATTCTTCTGACTCTGACTTCACTCTGTGCATTACACACATTGTTAACCCCACAGTTTGTATGCTACATTCTCTTCCCCCCTGAACTTTATACATTATATTCCCCTCATGCTAGCATTATGTGGAATACACATACTCCTAAACCTTGCTCTCTGGGCATTACAAGCTCCTGACCCATGCACTCTGTGTATCACACACACACTCCTGACCCCTGAATTCTGTTTTTCACACACCTGTAACCCCTGCCCTATGTGTGTTAAATAGGTTTGACCTTTACACTCTGCGTATTACACACATCCCTGACCCCTACACTCTCTGTGCTTCTTTACCCTGCCCCCTGCATTTTTAGTGTTACATTTTCCTGGCATGGTAAATTCTTCTGACTCCTGCACTCTGTGCACTACACACACCTCTGCAGTCTGTACATATTTTCTCCTCACTCCTGCACTCTGCTTTCTACATTCTCCTGACCTCTGCACAATACATTCCATTGTCCCTGGAACTCTGTGAATTATACACACCCCAGACCCCATGCACTCTATTCTAACTGGCAGTGAGGCCACATTGTGTTGCCATTAATGAGCACCTGTATCTTGTGAATGGTAATGAGCCATCGTTTACTGTTACTGATACTTAACCACTGTGATTGGTGAAGAACCACTGTGCATTGTGACTGCTGATAAACCACTGTGCATTCTGCCTGTGTGCAAACCGCTATGCAATGTGATTGCAGATATACCACTGTGTATTGGGAATGATGATAAACCACTGTGCAGAGGGACTGCAGATCAAACCTTAACACACACCCCTGCACTCACAAGCCCCTGACCCCTGTGTGTTACATTCTCCTGACTCCTGCACTCCGTGCATTACATACACCCTTAATCTCTACGCTCTGTACATTATGCACATCAGTGACCCATCTACTCTGTGTGTTACACATGTCCCTGACCCCTGTACTCTGTGGGTTACAAACCCCTGGCACTCTGTATGTTATATTCTTCTGCCCTCTGCCCTCTGTGCCTTTGGCTCCTGCACTCTGTGCATTACACACACTTTTAACCCCTGACTTTGTGCATTACACACACACCTGCATTACACATACAACCTGTGCTCTGTGCTTTACATTCTATTGGCCTCTGCACTATGTGTGTAATATACACCTGACTTCTGCATTCTGTGTATTACATACTCCTGACCCCTGCAAGCATATGTAAATTTCATTTAAAAATGATTGTGCTGAGGTTTATTTGTGTCTGTGTGACATTTGTTTCAGACGTAGTAATTAAGGCATGTTTTGTGGGTACAAGGACAATGGCATATGTGTTAGTGCATAGAGCATGCTGCAGCATTCCTCTTCTCAGGGTGCCCCAGGTCTTTCACAATTCTAGCAACACCCCTTGAAACAGACTCTTAGCTGAATGGGTGCAGCCAAAAAATCTATTCTGTAATATGTCTATCTGTACACAGCTAATTTCAGGTAGAGGTTAAAACTTCACAAAGCTCTTGTGGAGTTTAGTGAGATAGTTGCTTTCATACACTGAGCAGCCTCCTTTTGGTGCACCTAAATCTAAATCTTAACTCCAGCCAAAACATTTTAAAATAGTTTTGGATAGGCCTGGAAAGAATACATTCTTCTGTCATCTCATTTTTTTTCTTTACTGTTTGTGACCTCATTGTGGATATTTCATCTTTCTTCCTGTCCCTGTTACTGTGGGGCAAAAAATGAAAAAGAAAAATGTTTTGTTGCAGTGTGCATCCCCACTGCTGATATTGTCCATTTCCTAAACGCAGAGATTGGAACCCCTATCAGGCACTTTCAGATGTGTCCCTGTTGGTGATATTACCCCTTACTTCCTGTCCTGAAAACCAGACAGAAAGTAAAAAGAAAATTGCTGGAAAGTGGGGAAAATCCCACCTTTGACAGGTATCTCTTTTTTGCACAGAAAGTGGGAAGGAATCCCCCTAATGAGGATACTGACAGGTAGGGCAGTACGTGGCAATGGATTTTAGAACATTGTGTTTGCCAACTTGGCCCTTATTCATTCTGGCTGACAAATGGGTTTCTCTGCATTATCACCACTAATAACATTATTATATAATGTGATGTGACATTTTTTTGTGATGTAACTGGCAACTGTCTACTAAACCACAGTACACTGTGATTGGTAATAATCCATTGTATATTTTTACTGGCAGTAAGCCACTGTTTATTCTAACTGGCAATGAGGCCCTACACATTGTGTTGCCATGAATGAGCCCCTGTGTTCTGTGAATGGCAATGAGCCATCATTTACTGTTCTTGATACTGAGCCACTGTGATTAATGAAGAACCACTGTGTATTGGGACTGATGATAAACCACCATGCATTGTGCCTGCGTGATAACCGCTATGCATTGTGACTACAGATATACCACTGTGTATTGGGGACTGTGTATTGACTGATGAAACCACTGTGTATGGGGATGACTGTGTATGGGACTGATGATAAACCACTGTGTATTGGGGACCGCCTGATTGATAAACCACTGTGTATTGAGACTGGGATGATGATAAACCACTGTGTATTGGGATTGATGATAAACCACTGTGTATTGGGACTGTGTGATAACCGCTATGCATTGGGACTACAGATATACCACTGTGTATTGGGACTGATGATTAACCACTGTGTATTGAGACTGATGATAAACCACTGTGCATTGTGCCTGCATGATAAC